CCCCCCGCCGCTCGGTGCTGTCCCTGGGTGGGGTTCTCTCTGGGAGCTCTGTCACCCCCTCGCCTGTTGCTCGCTCCCTCTCTCCCATTTCTCTGCCCGTGGGTGACACCTGCCCCTTTCCCTGGTCGGGGGAGTGCTCTCCTCTCTCCTCTCTCCCCTCTCCTCCCCTCACCTCCCACTCCACAAACTCACCCAGCAGCTGCAGCTCCAGGGCTGGAGGGTGTTACCCCCTGTGACAAACCTCACCTGTGCACTCTGGGTGTTAGTTAAGACTCTGGTTTGATTTATAGATATATATATATATTTTTTTTTTTTAAGAGAAAGCCACCAATTTATCAAGTAATAATTTATTTTTTTTCCCTCTAGAGAATTTTTGGAGTTTATTTCATGATACATTTTTCTTTTTGCTCTTATCTGACCAAACTAGCTCTGCTTATTCAAACTGGTGCCTCAGTTCCAGCAGGGGCTGCACCAGGCACTGGTACATCTCTTGGTACATTTGTTTTTTGTGTGTTTTCTTTGTAGCAACAAAGTGTTTTTCACTCTGGCACGCATCCTGAAGCGGAGTAACACCACAGCTCCTTGGAAAGTCAAAGTTAAGCAGTGGTAACTCCATGGCTTTGTGTAAACTGCAGTGTGCTGTGAAGGAAGAATCGATGTGTCCGTGTCCAGGACACCCCGGTTTTGCCGAGGGATTCTCCAGGAGACTTTTCTGTGGGTAGAAGACAACTTCAGCCCGTCATTCAAAAGGCTTCTCCTTTTCTTTTTGTCTTTATTTTTCAAATGCATGTTGCCTCCCTGGAGCTTGCTCACCTCCTCCTCCTCCTGTCGAGTGAGGTGAGAGGCACAGCTCCGGAGAGGAATCCTGTTTATTTGGGAGTCCCCTTCCATGAGCTGCAATCCCTCGTGCCGAGTTCCAGAGCTGAATTATTTGCTGTGTGAAGAAGCATCATCTTTTATTTGTTCTGAGCTTGTAGCTGCTGCCTTTGTCTTCCTCTTCTCATGGGGAAGAGACAGCAAGTACTGTCCTGGTCCCCATCCACCCCACTGCCAGGTGTGGCTCTTCCCCCCCGGGACCTGCTGCGCTTTTGGTCATCTGTGTTGCTCCTCTCTGAACCTTTCCAGTTCTCCTCTCTCTTCTGGAAGGACAGAAGTTCACTGAGTAACCCTGGAATCCTCCTCCTGAGTAGTAACGCTCAGCTTTGAGCTTGTCATTTGAATCAGAAATTATTTTTTGGAATGTGTGATAGCAGCCAAAAAAAAAAGGCCAGCAAAATGTTGGACACCCGTGGGAGGAGGAGTAAGAGTGAGCTGGAGGCATCTTTGGCTGCCTGCCTTGTGTCCTGTGCATGTTGCTGGCTTCTGCATCTGCCAGAGGGACACAGCGGAGTCAGAAACACCCCTGGAGTGAGAGGGGAGAGGAGGAGAGAATAGAGTCTGGGACCCTCCCTGTGGGGAAGAGGGACAGGACCCGGGTTCACGGGGCCACGAAGAGGCAGAGCCCCGAGCAGCCTTTTCTGCAGCTGTTTGTTCCCAAGGGCAGGACACTGATGGCTCTGATGTGGCTTTGTAGTTGCCAACGTTACGGGGAAGCCAAGATGATGATGACGACGACGACTTTGCACTTACGGACAACCCCATCACACCTTCCTCCACTGTCTTCTCTCTGGTGAAAACCCCTCAGGGTGCCCACATCAGCCCTGGTATGCTGGGACCCATCAACAGGTAGGACCTCGTACTGCTGTCCCTCTGCTAACCTTTGCCTTCCTCATTTTCCCCAAGATTGGGTTTATTTGGTCTTAGAAAGATCAGTCTTGGACCTGGGACGCCAGACGTAGATTTACGTGCACGGTGGATCCTGCAGCCCAGGAGGGTGTGTAGTTGAGAGGAAGCTCTTCCCCTTGGCCGTGTGTGTGGTTTGAGCTACAGCTGAGTGTGGGCAGCTAAAAAACCTGCCAATCTCGTGTCCTTTGACTCCTGGAGAGGGTCAGGATTTCAGCTTCAGCCACAGCAGAGGTTTCTCTACTCATTTTGAGTCTTAAACCTGTTAACCCCATTGCTTCAGGCTGTACTGGAACAGGAATCGTCTGGGAACTTGCAGAGGAACTGGAATTTATCTAATGGACAAGAAATGAACCTTGGGAAGACGATGAGGCTTTGTCTGCTGCTTGTGTTTCAACTGATTGTGTGTGATCCAGTGAGACGCTCCCGTGTTCTGCTCCCAGAGCTGCTGTTGTGTTTCATTGACCCACAACTGGTTTTAGTGGCCGTGCTGATTTTCTCTCTGAATTAGAGCTGTGTGTGTAATGCCTCTTAATTATCCAGCGGGTTCGGTAGGTGGCACACCAGTGACACTAACGTGCTGGATTCCATCTGCAGGAAGGATTACGACAGGCACGTGTTCAGGATGCAGAAGACGACGAAGGGCAGCAGAGGCACCTGGGACAACGTCAAGAACTCGGTAATGTCACTTTCCTTGAATCTCACCGAGTTCCACCCTCATGAGGCAAAGTTTTGCCAGGCAGGAGCATGTCCCAGGGCTGCAGGGGAGTGTGTGTGTTCAGGGCAGAAAACGGGAGCCCTCCCCTACTTCCTCCCAAACTTCTGGGGCTTAGATCTGCTTCTCTTGGAGAAAAGCTGGGGAGGGACTTTTCCTAAGGGCAGTTAATGACAGAACAAGGGGAAATGGGTTTAAGCTGAAAGAGGGGAGATGGAGCTGAGATGGCAGGAAGAAATTGTTTGGTGTGAGGGTGGTGAGACAGTGTCCCAGGTTGGCCAGAGAAGCTGTGGCTGCTCCTCCCTGGAAGTGTTGAAGGCCAGGTTGGATGAGGCTTTGAGCAACCTGGTCTAGTGGAAGGTGTCCCTGCTGCTGGCAGGGGGGTTGGGACTGGATGAGCTTCTATGATTCTATGAGTTATTTTTGTTAGAAAAGAGCTGTTTGTGGTCGGGATTGAATTGCTTTTGTTAGGATTTGTAACTGCTCTTGGGTTCTGACATCTTTAGGGACATTAAGTTCCTGTTATGTTCTTCTGTACAGCGGGAAAGGGAACAGTACTTCTCCCCTCCTAGCAGAGAATCCCTGAATTTCCCTCTGTGTTCCTCCAGTAGCCTGGGCTGTGCAATTCTTCTGCTTTCCCAGATCCCAGAAGCAGAAAACCAGCTCGTGCCCCCAGTTCAGTGAGAGCATTTGGGGTAGTTGGCCAGTTTAAATGTTTAGTGAAAATGCAGCACAAGGGCTGGGGCAGCTCAGATCAGTGTGAGTGAGGCTGTGCCAGTGCCTCCCCGGCCTGTTCCGCCGGCGCCGGGCCGGGTGTCAGCAGGACCTTTCTGTCCTTTGTCAGGCTGGAGGAGCACCCGGGACACCAGCTTCACACAGAGCCAAGTTCAGTGCTGAGACGAGTAAGTACCTGGCCTTTCTCCTTCACCCCGGCTCCTTCACTCGCCCCCCCCGGCCGCTGCCCCGTGGCCCGTCCCCCATCTCTGCCCTCGGTCACGGTTCTGCTGCCCGTGTCTCACCACCCCCTGGTGCTTCCCGAGCTCAGGCACTGACACTCCCTGTTCTCCTTCTGGCAGAAGCGAAGCCGACCTCTGTGGTGGGGAAGCTTTTCGTGGCCCAGGCAGCGGATTCCTCCGATGAAGAACAGGCCGATTCCTATTTTTCAGTTTAATGAACTTGATGGATTTTTTATTAATTCAGCACTCAGTGCCTCTCATCGGGAGCAGAGGGGTTTGGCTGCCCCTCCCAGATGGTGCTTCTGTGCCGCCGAGTCCAGTGTGGGACCTCCCCTGCCCCGTTTTTAGCTGTTTTAACACCATTCCCAGCTTGCCGCCTACCCAACAGCGTCTGTCATTGTTCCTGTTTCCTGCTCCCCCTTCCCAGTGCCCTGTTTCTTCCGGGGGAGGGAGAAATGCACTTGGATAACTCTCACTGGCAAGTTTTGATTCTTTTTAAGATAAAAATGTCTTTTTGCAATGTAGCTGTACAATAAATGAATAATGGTACAGTCTGTACCTAACGGGAACTGCTTTTTAATTTCCTCTGCTGAGAGGTTGAATTTTTACATTTCCTTAATGTAATAAAAAAGGACAAATTTATTTTACTCATGTATCCATCAGCGTCTGTGGAGGGGGGGGCAGGAGTCACAGGCAGGGAATCAGTCCAGGACTCTCCATTTTCATCTTTTCATCCTCTCTTTTGTTTTTCAGTAGATGAATGGCTGTCCCCAGCCTGCTGCTGCTCTGTGTTAGCCCCACACCCCTCCTGGGGCAGCAGCGAGGTTATTTAGCTCGAATTCCGCTCCCATCTGTAGGGGCCCCTTCATGAACACTCCAGGAAGGGACAGGAGCAATCCCAATTAAGGGTTGTTTTCCGCGGCAGCCACAGTGTGGCAGCAAGAAGCTGCGGGAAGGCTTCAGCTGCAGCCGGAGCAGGGGGAAGGAAGCCAGAGGGGCAGGAGAGGAGATGAGGAGATGGCAGCTGTGAGGCCACCTCAGGACAAAGGAAATCACTTGCTGCACTGGTACTTCAGCCCTAGTAACCCCTTCACTGTTCTGGACAAGAAAAACAAGCCACACTTGGGCAAGTCACTTTGTTCTTAGGAAGGGTGTGTGCCAAGCTGGTAGGAGATGGCAAGTAGCCAAAGGAAGGCTCCTGCCTGTCACCACCTTTCTGCTTTGCTTTGTCAAACCCCTTCAGCCATTATCCTCATTTTTAAAGGTGTTTTGGAGTGATCAGCCAAAAACAACAACTGCCCTTGTCCACAGAGCCCCGTGTCCCACTCTGCAGCCACCCCGTAGTGACAGCCAGCAGCAGAGGCACTGCTCTGTGTGACACCATGGGCGGGGGGGTGACCCTGGCAGAGACAAGGTGACAACGAGAAGCGGCTGTAACGTGCCAAACCCCCTGGTGTTTCTGCAAGGATTTATTTACATATTTTACAGTGAATCCAAACTCAGTAAAGTGCAATTAAAAGCAAACAGAAACCCAAGTACCCGTCCCCTCAGGTCGTGGCAGCTGCGTTGCTTCTCCCCTTGGCAGAGGGGCTGTGGGGCAGCATCTGTGGGTCAAACCCGTAGTGGAGGTAGCGGTAGATCTCCTCCGCCTTCTGCCGACTGACCTGGGCGCCGGCGGCGATGTCCAGGGGGGAGCTGTAAGAGAGCACAGCAGGAGGACACCTCACCTCCAGCTCCTTGGGGTCCAGTGGGCAACACCGGGATAAAAGGGGAAAGGGCCGGTGTGAGGGGAGGGACAGGGACAGCCCGAGCTGCTGGCGGTCACCTCGCCGCGGTTCCCAGGGCTGTGAGCACACCAGGCTCAGAGCTGCAGCGAACAGGGAAAGGAAAAGGGGCAGCAGGAGGGACAGTGGAAGCAAAGCCCATGTCAGTGAAGAGGCTGAGAAACACAGAAAGAGCAGAGCAGGGTGGGTGTGGAGACAGGAGACTGGGGAGCTCTGGAAGCTACAGAGAAAGGATCCCTGAGCCACTGCCCCAGTAGGAGGGCCTGGATGAGACAGAGCAGCAGTCAGGCCTCAGAGCACCTGCCAAACATCTTTGCTGTTACCTGTTGGCCAACTTCTTCACAGAGTCAAAGCGATGGCACATGTTGAGAGCAGCCAGGTAGCTGAGGTTAGGAATGCTCAAGTAGAAGTGGAGCCTTTCCCGTTGGTGACCCTCCACCTCCGTGGGCACCTGAATGGCAGCGTTTTTTCTTTGCTCCACCAAGGCCAGGTCCTTCAGCAAAGTGGCAGTTTCCTCTTGGCAAGAGCTGAAAAGAATTCGGACCCCGGCCTGGACCAAGGCCGCGAGCACACCATCGTAGTACTGCGTCCTCTGGAAAAACCGGGATGTTTCTCCTGCAGAGTGGGAACAGAACATTCAGTGAGGTTTTAGTTACGTGCTAAATGACTGTGAAAAATAGAAAATGAACCACTTGGAAAGCGAAACGGCTCAAAGAGCATCCTCTGCTTGGAGAGCTCACACAAAAATGACACAAGGGAAAACATCTCGCAGAAAGGGGGTGGGAGGGGTCATGGGAGCAGGATTTACTCAGTTATTTGAGAGGCAGAGTTTGGAATTAACATTGAAAATGCAAATTAAATGTCATTAGGAGAGAGGCTGGCAGGAACACATGGTAAGCGATGGACAGGACAGACCAGAGACATTGGAAGAGGTTTATAAGGCTACAAAGGTAAGAAAGCACTTGGGCACCGTGTCACATGAGAAACACAAAGTCCTTCAGTGCCAGGGACACAAATGCAACATGGGGATGTTCTCAGCGTTTCTCTCCTGACAAATCCCAGCTGAACCCAACCCCCAGCGCTGTTCCAGCTGCTGAACAGAACCAGCTCTGGCCCAGCTCACACCAGGACAGAAGCAAAGCCCGTGTGGCCAGTGCAAGCCTCGAGCAGAGCCCGGTGTGTCCCCGTGCTGCCCCTCCCAGGGCTCACCCACCTGTTCTGATCCTGTCCTTCTCCACAATCACACACACTCTCTCAAACATGCTCTGCAGGCGCTGGATCCGCTGGGTGACTTTGTTCCTGTTCCCAGAGTTCAGTAATTCCGACAGGAATTTCCTTTCCACGGCCATGCGGTTGCTGACGATGTAATCGCAGCTGCTCAGCGAGCAAACCTGCACCTTCACCCCGTGAGCTGCCTTCAAGGCAGAAACCACCTCAGCTCCAGAGGAGATCTCCCGGCTGTCGACCAGGATGCGCAGCAAAGGCTTGTTCTCCAGAGAGTCCCGTGAAGACAGAGCTGTAGCTGAAGAGGGGTTTGTGGAGGCAGAACGAGGTGGAACTGAAGCGCTGCTACAGGTTTTCTTCAAAGAACTTCCCACCTGCAAAGGGTGAGAATCACACAGTGTTTCTAAGGGATCGCAGGAGCTTAAGGCCAAAGAAAAACATGTTCATAAAAAATATGGCTTTTAAATACCGATGCTTAACAGACACACCAGATTCCACATCAAATCCAATTAATAAAATCTTAAAAAAAAAAAAAATGATATTACAAAACATTAACATTTTCAAGTTCACACTTTCATCCCCTGTAAACAATCTCCCAAATTAGTTGGTTAATTATTTAGCAGCTTGAATGACAAACACACACAGGCTGTCACTAACGAGTTCCACTAAAACCGAACACTGTGAATGACAGAAGTCAGGCAGGAAAGTGTCAGAGATGAGGAATCCGAGCTCAGGCGATGCAGGGCCTTCATTCAGGACAGTGAACAAGGATTTCAGAGTTACAGAAACCAAAGAATTAGTGCACTCTCTGCTATTGGAAACAGATCCATGTTCCTCCATGATTGGCAGACTCGAGACAGTATCTAACCCCCAATTCTTATTTACTGACTGCAAAGACACTCTCCAGGTCACCCTGTGAGTACAGAAGCTTCCTACACCGAGGAAAAGGAGGGGATGTGGGGTGGATGAGGATGTGGAGCAGAACAGAACAGCTCCACCAGTGCAACCAGACAGGCTCCCACCGCCTGGGATTCTTTAGCAACACGTGAGGTGAGAGGAAGGTCCTTGTTTTGAAGGGACACCGACCTCAGTGGGAGCCTGGAGATCCTCCTTCCCCAGATCAGCAGCAGTGAGAGCTGGTGGAGAACGTGTGCTCCTGACTTGATGCTCTGGGTGAAAATCCAGCATTTCAGATACTGAAGCTTTCAAGCTGCGGAGCATCTCGCTCTTACCCTCCACAGGCTGATGAACACTGATTTCCTCAGGGATTTTTTTGTGCTGGGCAGAAGAGACCGAGGGCAGTGACTTGGGTAACTTGGCATTGTCCTCTCCTGCCCTGAAATGGTCTGTTTTCATGGGCTTCTCACTTGTTTCTTCCCCGCTGGAATCACTGAGAACAATAATTCGGGAGGGTTTCTTCTTTTGCACCGGGACAGAGTTGTCCTCTCCCATCCTGGCCTGGTTTAACTTTCTTCTGCGGCGAGTAAGGTATTGTTTATTCCCACCAGTAAAACCCTCATTATTTAGGAGATCAAAATTAACACACAATTCCTCCTCACTAGATTCACTTTTTTGGCAAGTTTCCTCTTCCTCATCTCCAACACAGAAACTGTCTTCTGCGTAAGTCTGGTCCTGCTCAGGAATCTGCGGGGGGAAAAAAAAGCCAAAGTCAGTAAGTTTCAAAACACTGTCATCGTTTTGTTTCAAAGCAACCTCAGGAAAACCTCTGTTTGGGGAGTGTTTGTTTCACCAAACTGGGAAGTCAGCTGAGACTGGAAACATCACACACTGAGTGGAGCTTCCTCAGAGGTCAGTCAGTGTCCCTGGCAGCACTGTGCAATCCTACATCGTTCAGCAGTGATCACTGTAACAACTTTAGATGGGATGTGAGGAAGAATTTCTTTGCTGAAAGGGTTCTGAGGCATTGGAAGGGGTTGCCCAGGGCAGTGGTGGAGTCCCCATCCCTGGAGGGATTGAAGAGTCGTGTAGACACAGTGCTGAGGGACGTGGGTTAGCCATAGGGGACTGGTCAGTGTTGGGTTCATGGTTGGTCTCGATGAGCTTAAAGGGCTTTTCCAATCCAGGCCATTCTGTGTTAATTCCACTCTTCAGTGGAAAGACAAGCAGGGACTGGGATGTCTCCACTTCAGACCAGTTGACAGCCTCTCTCCAGCTGAAGAACGGAGCACGTGTGCTTCTATCAAAGCCCACACGTCTGCACACTTTGACTTAAAAATCAAAACGAAGTCAGAAGTCTTTTGTGAGAACTTATTTATCAACAACAAGCTGCAAATTACACTTGAAAGTAGGATTAGAACCTACACAGGGTCACGTGCAATGGGAACTTCACAAGGACAATGGTCATTTCATTTCATACCTGTGAGAAAACCGCCAGGTTGTTGAAGTCACGATGAACCATTTTGTATCTGTTGCCAAGAGCTGGACTACGCACAGATTTCAGGTAAACGCCTTTCATCTCACAGTCTGGTTTAAAACAAGAAGATTAAAGAGAATATAGTACTATTAAGGATATATATTTAATTCATTATTATTACATCATGTTTTCCATATTAAATAATTCCTTCATAGTCTCCCCAAAACGTAAGTTTCTCAAAACAAAAATTTGCAATTCTCCAGACACCTCTGAAAATCCCAAAGCGAAGGACTCCATCTACCCAGCTTGCTGTCATGGAAGCTGCCATCCAGGAGGTCTTCTCAACAGGCAGAGCTCTGGATGCCCGTGGTGGGGAGAAGGGCGGCGTTAACCACAGCAAACCCAAATCACTCCCTTTTCCATGTCACAAGCACCCAAATCACTCCCTTTTCCATGTCACAAGTACCCAAATCACTCCCTTTTCCACGTCAGGATTCTCTCCCAAAACAGAGGCAACAAGAGGTTTCAGAGACTGCATGAGGAAGGGGTGGGTTTACTGAAGCCCACACAGAATCTTACAGGGAACAACTCACAATTTCAGTGGTGGAGAAAAATCCTCAGCAGCATCTGGGAATCCTAAATGGTAATGAGATGATTCTGTCATGCAAATATCCCAGGGAAAGACAAGGGTCACAAGGACAGGGATAAGCAAACCATCTCGGCCAAAAAGCAGCTTGACCTTCTCAGCTCTGTCAGTGGCAACACTGTAATTTTATCTTGAACGTTCATATTGTTATTTCATATCATGTTTTAGGTCTCTCTGTAACAGAAGGCCTGGAAGATTCTGAGATTTCTGAGTGAAATGGAAAATGGTGTTTCTGTTCAGTCAGAATGGCTGACTCTCAGCGAGAGGTGATCTCCTGCCCCTGCAGTCCTCAGAGATCTGGCTCCAGCCTGCCCAGAGCTGTTCCATGGGACTGCAGTGAGGAACTTGCTATGTAAGAAACCCACCTGAAACAACCAGATAATGGAAAGCACCTGATTTACCACAGCTGAGGAGGTTACTGCTCCTGAGCTGACACGCTGACCAGGGCCATGGCTACCATACACCACCTGCTAAGCAACAGCCCTCATCTTAACACCATTAACAACTCTCCTCACTCACCAGTTAACACTTGTGTGACGTCCTCATCATCGTTCAGGAACTGAGCAAGGGAAGAGTTCAGCTCGTTCTCTGCAGCAATACTCTCATCAGACGAAACACAATCTGCATCTTGCTGGGACAGCTCAGCTTCTTCATCTAAAAACTGTCTCGCTGCATTCTAAAAAAGAGAGAAATCCAAACAAAGTTTTAGTTGGAAGCTGGCTCCCAATTAACTAATCAGTTCACGACTTCAGAACATCAGCTGCTTGGATGATCACAGATATTAGACCTCTGGGTTTGAACAGAGAATCCATCCCAGGGCAAGGTGATGCAAAGAAGAGGAAATTCCACGAGACACATGGAGCACACAGAGACGTGTCCCATCAGCACAGAGAGGTGAAGCTGGAGTTCACTGCAAAGCACTGGCCCGAGGTTAATCACCTTGTGTGTGTCACACTGTTTGCACCTACACTAGCTGTAGTACAGGCAGAGTTTACTAACACATTGTAGCTAAACTGCCTAAAAATATCAGGTTATTTTGTAATTTATAAATCTAATTTATTTTATTTGCTTTCAAAATCTGTTTTGATTTCAAAGTGCTGGATTACTCTGAACCCAAACCCACGAGGAACTCCAGATACAGACCACACTCTGCTTTGCCCTTTTCTGTTTAGGATTTAGGATTATTTCATGAATTCCTGAGACAAAGCAACTCATGACTGAGGAAGTGCTCATCTTGCAGGGAAGATGAGGCACTTCACATGTGAGCTGCAGTCCAGGAGACACGATACAAACCTCGGTACTAAGTTCCATCCAAAAAAGACAACAAAACAATCCCAGGAAAGGGGATGTACAAGGAAACAAAAGGAATTCAGAAAAGTGTTTTGTCAATTTGTATCAAGAGATAATTTATATTACAATTTATATTAAGCTAACTTTTTCCCTTAATAATTTCAGCTATAAGGTACTAAAGTAAAATGTGGAAAAAAACCCAAGAGAAACAAAACAAAAAACCCCCATTATGTATCCTAGTTACTCCAAAAGAATCCTAGAATGGTTTGGGGTGATTTCATAGAATCATAGAATCATAGAATGGTTTGGGTTGGAAGGGACCTTAAAGATCATCCAGTTCCACCCCCCCTGCCATGAGCAGGGACACCTTACACTACATTTGTTTGCCTTCAAAGTACTCTGAATAAAAAGCACAAAGCTGTAAGTTTTACTTTAGTGCATGGAAAACTGAGGCATCTCGTGCTACAAGCGACAGCTCTGATTTTCCATTTTTCCCAAGTCCTTTAATTATTCGCTTACAGCAATTAGCGAGCCTGAGTGACAGGCATTAGTAACAGTTCCTGTTCTAGAAGAGCTCTGATTATTTTGAATCACAGTGGAGGTCACCTGTTTACAGGAAAGAACTCGCAGTGCTGTTGCCAATTAGTCTTAATCCTTCTTCCTTGGGAAGGACAAGCCCTGCGGCGTGGACAGCACTGTGACACCAGAAACTGACACTCAAGGGTCTGGTCCTGCTTGGGAAACAGCAAGTCACCAGCTTCTTAAATTAGTTATTGAATGTTGTAATTCAGCACTAATGGCTATTTTGGTGACCTTGGACTCCTCACGGTCCCCATGAATCTAAGTGCAGATCTCTGCTGCACTTCCAAGTCCACCACCTGTGCTTCTGACAGAACCATAACTGGTGGTGGACTGATCAGAATTATTTTCAAGCCTTGGACCTTCAGTGGATCTGGAATTCTGACGTGTTCATTGCTATAAATGTTTAAGTGAGATGATATGTGAAGGCAGAGTAGGATTTCAGAAGTATACAGGTAACACACACTCTTGCCATGAACCTTTTGGTCTCATGTAAAAAAAAAGTTTAAATAAAATTGAAAAATGGATTTTTCATCTGTCTAATTCTTTGTATTCCAGAACATAAAATACTGATACTATAGGGAAGTCTCCATAATGAAGATTATCTATAAAACATTAAAAATATCCAACATAATTGTGGATTATAGTAATTTCTGCCTAGTGGAACCACGTCCATGTGTATTTAAGAGCATTTCAACTTACCATGAACTTATGATTCTGGCCCTACATCCTCTCCTGATGCAGTGACAGTTTAAAATGTAAAATACTAAGTTAAGATTTAAGCTTTGGGGTCAAGGTAGGTGGTAAATTATAGAATCCCAGATTGATCTGGGTGGGAAGGGACCTTAAAGCTCATCCAGTTCCAACCCCCCTGCCAGCAGCAGGGACACCTTCCACTAGACCAGGTTGCTCAAAGCCATATAATCAAATATCCAATATAACAGCAGAAAACTGGACAAGTTCATGAGCTTCCCAAGTCTGACTAATCCTTGAAAATCTTCTACTTGTAACATAAACTTTTATTTTGCTTCAGAACATTATTAGGCAGGGCCCTGCAGATTCCTCTGAAAGTCAGGCAATGCATGTGAGGGTTAAGATCATGATCCAGTGTTTCAAGATTTCATCTCAAATGTTTGCAACAAACTTGTGGGAAATAGCTATGAGCCTCAACCCTCCTAAATAATGTCTTAAAAACAAACAACTGCCTGACTGCACACCTCCCACAGTGCACTTGTACCACGAGATCCTACAAAAGGCAATAAACCAGACAGATGCTCCGTTGGTTTAGGCCATAAAATACACACAAGCTCCAGAATTAGTGACTCAACAACACAGTAAATTTTTGTCTTATGTATGTGAAACCAGTGCTCAACACTGACAGGACAAGAGGAAATGGGCTCCAGTTGTGGCCAGGGCAGTTGAGATGGGATGTGAGGAAGAATTTCTTTGCTGAAAGGGTTCTGAGGCATTGGAAGGGGTTGCCCAGGGCAGTGGTGGAGTCCCCATCCCTGGAGGGATTGAAGAGTGGTGTAGACATAGTGCTGAGGGACATGGGTTAGTCAGGGACTGGTCAGTGTTGGGTTCATGGTTGGACTCCATGATGACCTTCAGCATATTAAGAGAGACACGTGACATCACGTACCTTGTAGGTAAAATTGCTTGTGACCCTCTGCCTTTTCGTGCTTTTCAGCTGTTTTCTGTCACCAGCTGCTGAGCTGCTGTTTGTCATCCTCGAGCTCCTGTGGAAATCCCCACTGTCATCACTGGACGCTTCTGACTGGAGGAACATTTCACAAACACTTCAATAAATAAGACTAAAGGAAGAAATACTTTAAATACACAGTCATCCTTCAATATCTTTTTTTTTTTTAAGCAACACCTGATTTTTTGTGACTGATTTGCTACAGCAAAGTAATGCAACAGTGCTGATCAACTTATTAAATAGAAAAGCAACAGAAAAACATGTTATTTGGAAGAAAAATCAGGTCAAGTGTGACATTAACTGTTTTGGTTTTTTTATTAATTCAAAGCTTTGTGGAAGAAAGGTTATTTTACTGCCATTCACAAAGGGACAGGCTCAGCTCTCCTGCCTGTAACAATAATTCACTGCCAAAAACCAACTACAAAGTCACTTTGGAGACCTTGGGAAAGAACTGAGGAAGAAAAGCAATTGCACTCTTACGTGCCTTGGGTCAGATGGCAGAAAATATTTTTAATAAGAACATTTGCCCGCTGGCTGGAGAAAGAGTAAATGTGTAAGTACATCCTGTGTAAATGAATTTGCATTATTTGCACTCACTAACCATGTGAAGCGAGTGCCGGCGCTTTCTGACGGCACGAATCGGTGACTCAGAATCACTCTCGCTCTTCACCTGTGTAAACAGAAACAAGTGTAAATGCAAAGAGGATCTTTGTTTTGGTGTTTGACTTCCTTGTCATTTTGATTTATTTATTTATTTATTTACTTTTTCCTAAGACTCACATCAGGAGATGACAAAACGTTCTTCTTTTTCCTATTTTTTCTCTGGAAAACAATCTCCTCTTCACTCTCACTGCTGGTTCCTAGGGGAGAAACAGTAAACAACATCCACTAGAAAATGCATTGTTCACAACACAATATTGCTGTAAGTGAGCAATCAAAATCTGTCTCTTCTATAAAAATAACTACAAAGAAGATTACTTATTGATCTATGTGGCAAATATTGTTCTCTTTTAGCCTTGTTAATCAAAATAAATCATCTCCAGCTGAGATGTACAATAAATCCTACTTCCCTGGAGAGTCTCTGTGTGGAAGTGATTACTCCAGGCAGAACAGGTACAGAAAAAGGGAAGTGAAAAATGAAACCAAGAGAAGAAGGTCTTAAAAGTTGAGTAAGAAAGAGTTACACTTCTGGAAGAGTTTTGTAATACACATCCCCTCGGGTGCACTGAAACAAAACCAGAACTCACTAAAAACTCCTCTTTCCAATTCCCTTTCAAACAAGGCTAGGGTGGGACAGAGAGTTGGTTCTGATTAAACCACTCAAAGGTTTGAATTTCTTTCAGGAAATACACAAAATTCCCAAACATTCCACTTCTTAAATAACATGTTTAAATACCAATAACTATCATTTCACCAACACACACTGCGCAGGGAGGTTTTCAAGACCCAACTGGACAAAGCTCTTAACAATCTGACCCAGGTTCAGTATTAACCCTGCAATTCTAAAACAGCAATTTGCTTCCTTTTGTGGATTTGGTTTTGGGGTCTTTTTTTTTTTTTTATCTGTGTGTTGTTGGGTTTTTTTTAATTAAATAAATCACAATTTTTAAAATTCAGCAAACTGACATATCAGTTTGAAGGTGTGGTGATTCAGGAAGAAAGGTGGCATTCAACAATCAATCACCTTCAGAAAATACAATTCAAAGAGAAGGAAAAAAAGGTGCTTTAACCACTCTAAAGTGCTTTAACCACTTTAACCAATAAAGATTATTATCTTTATCTCTAGGTCATGCTTTGTTTCAATGTTTAAGGGCAGTAACAAAACCATTCAGAAAAACTCCATGTGCCCCATGAATCAGACTCAGTACTATTAAGCCTGAATTATTTTGAAAGTAACTCAAGGTTATTCAGAGATAGAGATGACAAGGGGTGTGACTATGGCCTTAAGTGACCGATGAGTGAAGAGTGATGGTTATTTACATATTGGCAATATTTGAATGTAAAATATTTTTTATGGAGTATTGGTCCTAAAACAGAAAAAGAGAGAAGGGGAGAAAGAAGAGAGGAAATAAAAAACAGAAGAGAGGAAATAAAAAATAGAAGAGAGGTTACAAATAGTTGATATTTTTAAGACAATCCAGGTTTGTGCTGAAGTCATAATCAGAAAATTTTCAATCCAAGTCAGTTGTCATGGAACTAAACTGAAAGAAATCCATCGGTAGAGTTTCTATTCCTTGGGAATAGTGACAGGAAAATATAAAGGGGAGGATTAAGGGATTGAAGTGCAACAGATCCAGTTGGTTAGGAATTGGATCCTGAGAGGACTGAGGAAGACAGGACTATTTTAGAGGCAGCTATAGCTCACACAATGACGTCTCACATGGTTGCACTGTTAGCACTTGTGAGGAGACAGGAGAGGTTTAATTCCGAGTACTCCCTCCAGTGTGCACGCACGCATTCCCACCTCAAATGGCTGAGCTCATATATGGGGTTAAGATTCTGGAAAGTCTCCTCATTAAGCCAACTTCTAGTTTACAATCATTATTCCCCTTTCCTTTCATCCTTCCCACCCAAATCATAAAATTAAATTGAGGATCTGAAAGATACTGGATTCCACATTATTTATTTAAACATGAAGATATTAACCGACTGTGCCACTGAATCAGCAGGAAACACACGTGAACTATGAAGGTTGGTGTCTTCCAGGTTTTCAGTTCTTCCCAAAGGGGAATCAAGTGCATCCATGGCTGAATTCCCAAAGTTCTGCTTATGTGGGCTTGTATTTACTTTATCTGTAAGAGGCATCTCTGGCATTTCCTCCCTGGCACGAGAGAAGACATCCATAGGAATTCTTTTGACAGCTTCAATATTCACAACCTTTCTACTTGTTGGGGCAGAAGCCAAAGCTTCAGGTGATCCACTTCCCATTCTTCTGTCTCCTGGCTTCAGGAACGGCCCTGCAGTGGTAGCATCCCCAGTCCCTTCTGCAGCAGTCATGTTCCTGCTCTGGGATGGCAACAGTGTGGAAATGTCTCTTCTCTCGAGACCTCTGCAATCCCGTTTTGGTGATGTTTCAAGTTTGGAACTCTTCAGTAATTTATCTTCAGGGGATTTAACATCTGCATGGCTCCCTGAGGCACCACTTAATTTTCTGGTTTTATCAGTATTTATAGCTTCTTCAAAGATTTCATTCTCACACTCTTCAATGGAAAATCCCAGATCAAAGGTGACAGAAAACAGTTCTTGAGAACAGTCATAAAGCTCATCACTATCCAGAACCTGCTCTGTCACACTCCTGTCACCTGGCATTCCCATGGCTGGGGTTTCCCTGTGTTCTGGCTGCTCTGTGCAGGTTTTGCCAGTGTTCACACAGCACAACTCCTGAGGAGACCACTCAGAGCCTTCTGCTGCAACTGGCCTAACAACACTGGCACCTGAACCTGACCTGACTAAATGCCCATTGCTCGTAGAAACACTTCCAGTATTTGTGTCATAAATGTGGTCATCTTCAAATAAAAGTACTCTCTTTTCACCAATAATCACATTTTTCTTGTTAATTTCAAGACCTTCCTTATCTTTTTGAACAAAATACTTGTTTGAAGGGTTATTTGTTGGAGAGTGATTTGTTGTTGGAGTTTTCTTTTGAGTTTCAGGGAATTCTTCACTGTCAAACAGACTATCAAAGCTGTCATTCCAGTGAAGTTCCTCTTTGGCTTTGACAACAGCAGTGTCAGGAGATGTCACAGCTTTTGTAAAACAGGTACTTAGAGAAGCACACAACTCACTGGTGACGTTCAGCTCAGGATTTTCAAAGAGTAGCAATGAACAATCAGCTTCTGAGGGTGCAGAAAAGCCTTTGCCCCGCAGTCTCTCTGAATAACTATCAGAAGTAACTTTTTGAAAGGGACATACTGTTTCTTCGTTTCTCAGCATGTTTTCAAAATCATAAAGTTTATTCAAAGAGGGAGGAGATTGTGATAAAAGCCTTTTCACATGGGAAAACATTTGTTTTAATGAAGAAGGCTCCTCAGATGGTCTCACAAGAGCAAATGAGTCCACGTACGATTCAGGAAGATAAAAGAAGTCAGAGGACAGAGGTGATTTCTCAGCTGTGGAGCTGCTATAACCCGAATCTGCATTGTTTGTCACCAGTGACTTACAAGCTCTGTCGACAGTTCTGTGTTCCTTTACTGCTGCACTTTCATCAATTACAGCACTTTCACTGTGGTCACATAGGTCAATAAACTCATTTAAGTCAAATGTCACCTCTAGTTCCTCATCCTTTTGCCTGTCCTGGTCAGTATTTTCAACCAGAGCGAACCTTCTTGCTGAGTCAGAAGCTGAAGTATTAATATCTGTAGGCAACACAGGCTCTTCCAAATTTAATCCAGAAGTCCTTTTGGGAGTCTTTGCTTTTGTTATTTTAAACGTGGAAAATAATTCACTCCCATTATCATTTGTATCAGGTAAAAACGGTTTTCCTTTTGACCTGTGTGCCATGTCTTTTCTCGAGGAGCGTGCTTTCTGATCAGATGTGGAGTTGGTCACGGAAACACGACTTTTATTTCTCTGAACATGAACATCTTCAATTCGTAAGTGAGGCTTAATCTCCAGTTCATAGCTGCAATCTCCCTGGTGACAAACACAGTGGAATATTTACTGTAAATACACACAGGCTTACAAGCACCTGTCACAATAATATTTAAAAGAAGTGACAAAGCTTTTCATGCTCCTAAAGGTTAGAAAAGGTAAGGGTAAAATTAGAAAGGGTAAAAAAACAAAAAACAAACAAACCACAAAAGGAAAGTGTTTTGCATTTAAGGTCACAACTTTCAAGCAAAAAGTTTGCTGGCAGCTTAACTGCAAATCCACGCTTGGGTAGTCAAACCTGAATGTTTTGGAAAGACCAAAATACGCCACGCATAAATAAACGTGGCATTTAACACAGCACCAACACACAGAATTCCACACTCAGCATCCGTGTCACCCAGCTAGGATGCAGTTCTGGGAACGTTAACAGCAAGTAACTTCACCTGGCTAATAAAAGGCGAAGGGCTTTATGTCCTCAGACAGGCTGAGCTTACAGGCTGTAGATCTGGGAGGAGCAGTGAACTGAGAAAGGTGCTGCCAGCAGAAGAAACCCTTAATCAAGCTCAAGTGAGCCAAGAGTTCTCTGCTCTCTTTGTACTAGTGTTTGCAATTTGGCTCTTGCCATTGATGGCACATTAAGAACTCCTCACTTATATACTCTGAACTTTTTTTTTTTCTTTTTTTGCAGGGATGCTCATTAATCTTCTGTTCAAAAAGGCACTGACCCAGGCAAGCAACTCTTAAAAATACACTTGAAAAAAGCACAATAGACGTTGACATCACTTCCAGGTAGGTATCCATACAAGGACTGCCTGGATTGAAAACTAGTTATTGATTGTCCTCCTCACTCTCTGTTTTAAATTAGGATTTCACAATTAAGGCATGCAATCTCCAAAAGGAACAAATAGGGTCAAATGAGGCTCTGAAAACAATGGTTTGAAACACTCCTTCAAAATTCAAACCCCTTTCACTAATAAAAATTAAAAATGAGGATGT